TTTCTTCTTGCTTTCAGCAAATAGCACATGTTTTGAGTCTGGAGCTATCTTCTATGCTTCCATGCATAAAACTGCTGAACTGTCTCACAAAGAAAGAAGTCCCAAATTAAGCAGTGTTGTTGAATTAAGGCTATATTGATGTTATGTGAAGGTCGGAACTAATACAGTAATGGCTGAGACACCTGACATACAAGTGACAACATTTTAAAATAAAAAACCAGGGCAGCTGTGTTGGGCATAACCTCCCTCCCCGCAAAATCTCTATTTGTCTTTGTTAAGCCAACCCAAAAGACACAAAATTGTGTGGAAGCTTTTGAAATCTCCAGATTTCTTTGTGAGACATAATATTACATCAATAAGCAGAAGGGGGGGGATACCTAGTGTGGTGTCAGTGGATAGTGTGTCTGACTGGGACTTAGGAGGCCTGGGTTTGAATACCCACTTAGCCATGGAAGTTCGCTCCGGGTGTAAAACTGGTACCTGTATTAACATGCCTTAAATATCTTGTTTACCTTTGAAACCCTGTTAAGGTCATTGTGGGTCAGTTCTAACTTGAAGGCATATAACAATATCAGCAAGCAGAAGAGAGGGAAAATCAGGGTTGGAGGCTTGATGTTAGTCCTATAGTGTGCTATAACGGAGCTGAAAGGCTCTGCAGACATTAGGTGACATGATGTCACCCATAGGAGCGATAGGGTTTCTGGGAACAGGGAAGGTGGAAAAGTTTGGTCCTCCATCTTGGAAAAATATAAATCTCCACAGGTATCTCAAAGCTTTTTTATCCCTGTTCAGAATGTACCTTTTCCTTTTTTTAAAAAAAATCAGAATGACTCCTGAATAACCAATGTGGGCTATTTTATTAAATATATTAAGAGCTATTGCAGAAATGTGTCTGCTAGATTATGAGGGAGTAGAAATCAGTTGATCTGTAATAAGATTTCACAGCTGATGGTAGAATTGTTCTGTTTTCATAGAATCAGTTTTATACGGCTTACTGAGTTGCCGTTTTAAACCTCAGCAGTAGTGTAGATAAAATCGCTTACATTGAAGTATGCTAAATATAGTTTGCACAGCTCTGTTTAATTTTTTTAATTTATTAGCATCTTACTCTAGCTGTGCCCATCTGGATTCATTTAATTTGATATTTCTCATTGAAATAGTAAAAATGTTGGATTTGTTATATCTGTGTTTCTAAAGTTAGAATAGTGCCCTTTGGTTGAAAACCCAAAAGACACAATTGAGTAGGAAGATTTACTTTGTGAGCCCACAAGAAAAAATTGTATGTGGTTCGAACAGGGGTTATCAATAGTAGAACGTCGTGTTGGGTTACTTCCATAGATTTTACTATTGAATTCCTGTTTACTAAGATCCTGCATATAGATTAGATATAATAGTATCTATGTTTGTAATATTGTTGAAAAAGACTGGCAGTCAGCAACACTGTAATTTCTTGAACTATTACAACTTTAAGGTTACTTCATGTGACATCCTTGTCGTAAACAGCTTCTCTCGTCAACAGTTATCATGCCTATATGGCCAAAACCATAAATGTATACAAAAACTATGTGAAGAAATATTTCACACAATAAATTTGCACATAGGACAGCCTCCACATCATTTTCAAAACAGGATAATTGTTTGCCCTTATACAGTGGTGCCTCGCTTGATGACGATAATCCCTTCCGTTCAAGTCGCTGTTAAGCGAAATCGTCATCAAGCGAAATCAAAAAACCCATTGAATGCGGATTCAATGCATTCCAATGGGCAAAATACCTCATTGTGCAGCAAAGGTCCTCCATAGGGTGGCCATTATCTGGTGCCTGTATAGCGAGGAATCCGTCCTAAAAACAGCGGGGAGCCATTTTGCACAGTGGTGGCCATTTTGCGACCCGCTAATCAGCTGTTTGGAAATCATCGTAATGCGAAGAATTGGCTCCCGAAGCAGGGAACTGATCGTTGTGAAGCGAATTTTCTCCATAGGAACATCATTTTGCGATCGCAGTAGTGATCGCAAAAAAAACCATCATAAAGCGGATTTGTCGTTTAATGAGGTAATTGTTAAGCGAGGCACCACTGTATTAGAGAGTTGGGACTTTGAAGTTTCAGAAGGCTATATATTTAACAGGTTGGCTGGATAGCTCAGTGATTTGAGTGCCTGGCTGCAGAGCTACAGGTTGAGAGTTTTGTTTTGCCTCCACCTCCCGTATCTCCTGGGAGAAAAGCCAGCTTGTATAGCTTTGAACAAGCTGCACAGTTCTAGAGTGTGTCCAGAAGAATGGAATGATAAACCTCTTCTGAATTCTCTACCTAGGAGACTCTGAGAAGGCTCACCATGAGGAGAAATTAACTGACAGCATGTCATTATTGTATTATATTTAACTGCAGATATAAGTGTTTCTCTTCTGTTTTATTGGATTAGGGGTCAATAAGACTTTACTTTATTTGGACAGCCTGCCCAATAATTTCTGATGCGGGGTCCTGACTTTAACTTAGCAGCTTAGTGTGAGAAAAACCCTTCTTGATTATTTAAATTGCCAGTGGCTGAAATCCTGTTGCTTTGTTACACATTCAGAAGGCAAACCGTGTAACATTCAGTTGCTTCTAGCTGGCACTTAACAAGTTGCTGCTGGGATTAATCCTGTTGCTTACAGGTACAGTAGTACAGGTACAGTAGTACCTCGGTTTATGAAATTAATACGTTCTCCAGAACATTACATAATGTAGAAATTACCTAAACTGAAACGCAGATTGCCATTGGAATGGCAGAGGCGCTACAAAGTTCCAAGCACAGGGAAACTTCCTTCGCAAACTCAAAAAAACATAAACCGAGGCATTATTTTCAATGGATTTCTGTTCGTAAACTGGAAATTAAGTAAACAGAGGCGTACGTAAACTGAGGTACTACTGTACTCATTCATTACCAACTAGAAGGCACTGAAAGATACACCATTTGCCTTCCATGTGAATAATATGAATAACCAACCAGCTAGGTAAGAAATACCTGAAGGAGATGGTCTACTGCTTTATATAAAGCAGTGGAAGGTGAAGTTGATTGGGCAAACCCAGACCAAAGTCTTCAAAAGTCTTTAAAATATGACAGAGTAGCAGACCCAATTTTGCACACTCCATATGTGAATGGAGGCACTTGCTTGTGCACTGAGATTTTACCAGTTTTCCTACAGCTTTAGTTTGAAGACCCTTATGCTGAGCTATGTCACTTTGAGAGGGTCCTGTTATGAAGAAAACTCAAGCAACAGCCATAGGAAGCAGATAAGGCAGGAAAGATCTTAGAACATTCTTGATGGATTGAATCCATCTCTTGAATTGCTCCAAGTCGATTGATTAGTTTTTTTAAAAAAAAATTGTGTGTAATAGAATTTTTAAAGAGACGAGATGTACATTGTTGAAAACAGATACCACGAGCCATGGTAGTATTCTAGCAATCTCACAACACTAGGTCAAGACATGAGGGTATGATTTGTGAAACATTTACAGATGATTAGACATTCAATCACATCTTCTTGTATGCTAATTTTAAAATATGATATCTTTCATGGGCTTCTGATTTTGCATACACAGACTTAAGTATCTTCAGAAGCTATATTTCTTGAGCTTGTACACTATTAATGTGTCTGTTTGATTGGCATTCCAATTATTCATTCATTTATAGATAGCTTTGACCTAAACAGTCAATTTAGTGCAGTGGGAATGCAGCTGGGAAGATACTGTTGCTCCTTTCAGAGTCACTGTCAGAATCTGAACATAAACAGAGAGAACATGAATGTATAAATTTGATTGCACCCTGGGTGGAATTATTGGAAGTTGTTCTCAAGCTCTTTCTATGGGTGTTAACTCAACTTGCATCAAGAACAGAAGAAAACATTGATTATAAAAAGCTTTATATCCATCTGTGGTAGCTACCATAGTATTTCTTTTGTATGACAGTAATCTAGTCTGCATCATCCACTTGCAGTTTTAAAATTAACCTGTAATTTAGTCTTCACCCCAAATGACAATAATTCAAACTACTCTGTGGGGTGCCAGAAGATGCACTGTAAACAGGGCTTGGTAAAGGGGTAAGGTAGAGATCCATCAAGCCAGACTCCTTTTTGCAGTTTTACATAGGTTGCAGTAAACTCA